TTCATTTTGAAAGAGATGTACCCTAGCTCAGAAAAATGTTATTGAATAGGTTAATGCTGTTGTAATGAAATGCTTCTTTTAAGTAAAAAATAAATAAATAAAAAAATAAATAAATAAATAAAAAAGAAAAATAAATAAATAAATAAATTTTAAAAAGCAAATAGAGGAGAGTGCATTAAAATACACATTTACTTCAGAAAATATTACAGATCATCTACTGGGTCATTTACAAAGCTTTACAATAAATAAAAACTGGTCTCTGAATTCAGAACAAAACAGTGCCATGAGTGCTTGCCCTGGGCCCTCCCTCCTTGGCTTTGAGCAAACCCAATTCCAAAAGGATTCCCCCAAGTTCCCTATTTTCCTTTCATTTGCTATAACTAAAGACTATGCATAACATTCTGATTGGACCAAAACAATGTTTCAGCTGGACTTGGTGGCTCACGCCTTTAATCCTAGCACTTTGGAGGCAAAGGAAGTTGGATCTCTGTGAGATCCAGGCCAGTCTGATCTACATAGTGAGTTCCAGGCCAGTCTGCTCTACATAGTGATTTCCAGGCCAGTTGGGGCTACAGGAAGCCCCTGTCTCAAACAAACGCACAAACAAAGGAATGCTTCAAATTTAACCCCAGAACAATTCTCCCCCCATCTTCTATCTGAGAAGAGATCAACCGTCAAGTCAGTAAGACAAGGATTCCCATGAAGGCGACACCCTGTGACCATCAGGGCTTTGGGTAGAACCAGTACATGTGCGACCCTCAGCACCGCCCTATGTCATGTGCAGGCTAGCCCCTGCAGTGAGCTCTGACTCACCCAGTTCCAAGTCAAAATTTCTCTTTATCTCAACACAGAACTTAAGGAAACAAGGGAGCAAACCATCATGCACCATGTATCACTGCAAAGCCTTTGCATAGAAAAGTGACTTTAAAGTACTAAATTAACACCATCAGGCTGGAGGTGTAACTCAGTGGTAGAGTTATTGACTAGCAGGAAGGAGGCCCTAGGTTCAACACCCAGCACTGAGGAAAAATATCAATAAAACGCCATCATCTTACTGATTCTCATTAAGAGTCTCTCTGGGAGGCCTAGGGCCATTCTGTGTTCACACTCTTTGTTCCATTCTGAGCAATGGAGGGGGAGGGCAGAATCCTGGGGTTTCTAAAAGGTGTTAGGGCTAGGGTTCAATTTGTACCATGGTCTACAGAGGCTGACTCCAGCTTTGTCTCAGCTAGCCCCACCGGGGAATCTTTACAAGCAAAAAGTATGTGAAAATAAACTATCGAAGAACAGGAGAAAGCATACAATCATCACTAATGTCCAAACACTAAGGTCTGAAGAACAACCAGAGTCCCTGGCAACATGTCTGAAACACAGAGTACTATAAAAGGGAACCTGCAGGTCTTAGGGGCTTTTCTCCACTGCAGAGACTACACCCATTTTGTCTTAGCAGAAGCCAGTACTTGCGACTCCATGTATTGACTGAATGCCTAGCAATTAGGTC